CATAACAAAACTCAACCTGCCTGTAATTATTATGTCTCTAGCTTAAATTGAATTCAGGATTTGAACCAAATTTTCACAGGCCGCACACTATGGTATATACTTCAAGTTCAAGGTACGCTCAAGTTTCAACTGCATGCTGTGCTTTATGTTAAAAATAAAAACTGCCCCCTCTAAGAATAAGAATGATTGATGTTTTTTATTAAGAATTTGTGTCAAAATATTTTTCTTTTTTGTTCGACCTTATCATTATATCTTAATTTTAATTATCCATCTTAACATTAAAAAATTCTGTAAAAATAGAAATTATTTGTAGTCTTATAGAATTGATTAAATTAGTTGTCTTTTCTGTTAGATTTAATTATTTTAATTAAAAAATTTTATATAATAAATATATAACAATTGAAAATTTTTTTTATACATAATTTTTGTTAAATATTTTTATTTTAATAAAAATAATTTTTTATTGTTATTTATTTGTCACATAAAATTCAAAAATAGTTAAATTAATTTACATAAAGTTAAAGGATCGGGAGAACCGAAAAAGTGCGAGGGAGTAGAATCTAGACTTTCACATTGAAGAACATAAATCAATTGCCTGATGTGAAAACGAACTTGAGAGGTGACTGGTTTGTTGAACGAAGTTGACGGTGTGAGAAGCTGGTTTGTTCTAGTTTAACCGTTGGGAGAAGAGATCTTCCGTAATCTCGAACTTTGTAAATTGGGTTCAAGTTCGACCGCCAGTATCCTAAATTGAGCTTCTTCACACCCAAATTAATGACCAATGCAACTCTACCAAAGCGGTTTGATGGCTGCATGTTTTTTTGAGGTTGGTGGTTTATTTATTTGATTTGAAAATCGAATCTCCAATTGTTAACTCTAATAATTTTAACATAATAATCATTGCCTTTATCAAAAAAAAAAAAAAAAAAAAATTAATGACCCAATGGCCCTATACCAATTTGGTGTAATAGACCTTTAGGTCCTTACTTATTTCCCTTTATCAGTGCTTTTTTTTTTTAAATGGAGAGACTAGAGGTTAGTATTTAATATTTATGATTAAAAATATAATTAATTCTATTACTAAATTATATAATTGATAGTATCAATGCATCCCTTTTTGTAAGCACTAGTTTTAATTTTACATAATTTGAATTATATTAAATTATAAAACAAAATTATACCCCATTAAATTACAAATAGAACCATAAGATGGAAGAGGACCCAACATCTAGCTTTCTCCCTCTTATCAAATGGTTTATAACTACCTAATAATTTTTCCTTTCATTCTTGTCCGTCCGCCTTAGAAGTAAAGTACCCGTGGTATTCATAAAAATAAATAAATATGTAAAAATATTGGGAAAAGTCAATAACTTTAGACTTTGCATCAAGCAATTGAAGTCATGGAATTTGAACTTCCTTTGTGTTATATGCGTAATTGAAAGGCATTGCATTCTGCTAAGTTTATAATCCTCATCTGCAGGAATGGCCTAACATTTTTTCTTCCACACAACTATCAAGAAACAGTGAACGAAACTTTCCATGGCTTGTTTGAGCATCTAAAGACCATGAGATTGGCCTTAGACCCTTTGATGATATGAACCGGATGATCTTGCATTAGTAGGGTTTCTACTCGAGAATGCGAGGGTGCTGGAGGAGATGATTATAGACTTTGGATGTAAGGTTTCAAAGTATCGTTCCCCTGAAAAGGCCGTACTTTTTGAAGTGACTCAAAAATTGCCAAGGTTTCCAAAATGCTCACCTCAAGCGGTAGTTCTTATCCGTTAGTTTGTATGTTTGCTTTCCTTTCAACTAAATCTAGTAATTATGTAGTGGAATGCAAAAATGTTGTAAGTGGTATTAGACCAAACTCTATCTTCCTTTAATTATCATGTCTCTAGCTTAAATCGAGTTCAGGATTCGAGCCGAGTTTTTACAGGGCACATGGTTTATACTTCAAAGTAGTCTCAGGTCCCAGCTGCATGCTTTGCCTCTGGTTTTTTTTTTTTTTTTTTGGGTCGGCAATATATAAATATTTTTTTAAATTTTTATGGAGTACGGGGGTACTCCTAATCAACTGCATGCTTTGCTTATGTTAAAATTAAAAACGATAAACCGTATCCATGATCCTTTACTGCATGTTTGGAGTACTAGATACAACATGGGATAGGACAAAATTTATTTTCGATCCTAATTTATCCCATGTTTGGTAGAAAAAAAGGATAAGATACATTATATCCCACATTTTTGCAATCTTGACCTCCTTTGACAAAAGTTATCCCACCTCCCCCATGGGATTAGGTATTAGGTGGGATAAGATTTGATTTTACTTTTGTACCCCTCCTTTCGCTACCCTATAATTTCTCTACTCTTAACTCGACACGTCATGGACACCAATTATGCCATTGCTTTGTTCATCCCACCGATTCCAACATTGCTTTGCTCATCCTACCAACATCGATCTCGATTCTCCTAAGTCTCCTATTATCCCTTTCATCATCTTCCATCACCAATATATCTCTCCCATTTTCATTAACCTCAGAGCTTGTCCCATTTCTTTAGTCTCAGACCATCCCATTACATTTCCTTTCCTCCTAAAATCAAAAGGCCCAAATGTATCCTCTCATCTCTTGACGCACACTCCAATCTCGATTTCTTTATCTATTGTTGCCTATTGTGCCCCATCCTTATACATTTTGGTATGTCTCCAATATTTACTCTCTTTTTCCACTGCTGAGACTAGTCCTTTTGCTTCTCAAACAAAAATTGGTGTTAATATATACTCTTTGAAGCTGGGATATGAAATCTAGTTTTCTTAGAAAAAGAAGAAAAGGGAAACTACTAGAAAGGAAAAGAAAATGGAGGAAAATTGAGAGACAAGTGCAGTGGTCAACATCCTGTGCAGATGGAGGTGTTTGGGGCTTGGGAAAATAAAAAGGAAAATGCTGGAAACGAAGAAAAAAAAGCAAGCAAAGTTTGAAACAATTTATTAGTACGCTAATCTAGGACAAACAAAGAAGTACAGTTTCCCTGTTTTTAATAAGAAATTGAATTATATATAAAAAAAATTAAATTGTAATATTAAGGGTATTTTTGTCAATATGACAAATATTTTTTTTATCCAATCTTGTTTGTACCCAATAATCAACTAAACATATCATTGGATTTTAACATTGCCAATCCTATCTAATCCAACATAATCTTATCCTTAAAATTATATTATATCCAATTCAATTCTATATACAAAACGTGCGCTTGGGAACCACAAATAAATGAGGAGAGGTTTAATTAATTGGAGAAATTGTCCATAGCCTCCCAGAATTGATTTAACAAGTATAATCTAGATTTATACATCCAAGAACAAAAATAAATTGCAAAGTGCAAGATATAGATGAATTTTTCTATACCTTAAACGAATTTAATTTTATTCAAGATATGAATCTAATATTTTTCAATTTAAACTGCACTACGTTACACAGATACATTCAATTTTTATGAAATGAATCAAATTCGGTGTTGTCCGGTTTGTAGTATTGGGTTGGACCGTGAGTTTCCCAAATTGGGCTTCGCGAGTATCCTAAATTGGGCTTATTCACACCCAATGGCACTAGCCCAACCTTTACTTGTTTATTCTTTTTGGTGCGTCTCTTTTCAGTAACATTTCCGACTCTGTTCTCCCCTGTTTTCTGCTTGGCTTCTGGTTGACGGAAAGAGAATTCTGTTTGTGCGCGGCAGACCCATTTGCGTTCTATGGAAGAAGATCAAGATTCCGATTACGTCGGCTGTCGTCCTGTTCTTTTATCGGATGAGGAACACAAAAGCTATAACGGGTTTTTTGATCATTCACTCGCCGGAACCGGATCCAGCGATGGTGATGAAATCCTTAGTCCTTCCCATTCATCGGATGAGCAAAGGGAAAACGAAAGGAATCATTATTCAGCCAGGTCTGACTATAGTGATGAACGACACTGGCCGGAAGGTGTTCAGAGCTCTCCCAAAAGACAGAAAACTCCGGAGGTAGATCGCATCAGCAACTTGCCTGAGTCCATCATCCACCATATCCTCTCATTTTTACTGGCTGAAGACGCCGTCAAGACCGGTGTTTTGTCTAAGAGATGGAAGTATTTATGGACTTGTGCCCCAAAACTTACCTTCCGACACAATCCTCATCATCTTGGATTTTCTCGTCAGAGATTCTTCAGGTTTGTCTGTAAAACCCTATTTTTCTACTCCTCTAGCAAGATGGAGAAATTCGAACTAGATTTCAATTATATGTTTAGTGGAATGAGTAGGGATCATTTAGATCCTTTAATCCAAAAGTGGCTCGATTTCGTTATCAGACGTTTTGTAGAGGAGCTTTCTTTGAAATTCTGCAGAAGTAATGACTATTGCTACCATAATTATCAATATCGCATCCCGCAATTTGTCTTCAACAGTTCTTCACTGACAAAATTAAGTACGAGTAAATGTTATTATGCACCCAATGGACAAATATGTTGGACATCGCTTAAGCTTTTGACTATAGAACATGCTGAGTTGTCCAATGATGTGCTTCAAAAGATTTTAGCTGGTAGTCCTATGCTTAAATACTTGAAATTGCATGACTGCTGGGTTATAACTGGTATTTATATCAGTTCAAGTTCTGTGCTTGAATACTTGGAAGTGCGTAGATGCGAGCATATAACTCGTATTGATGCTAGCTCAAATAGTAGCTTAGCAAAATTGGTGTTGAAAGAAATGCGGAATGATGAGGATGAGGAAGACAATAATGTGATAGAAATTTCCTGTCCTAATCTGAAATCAGTGGAAATTTCGGGGTGCTGGTTCCAAAAGATATGCAGGTTGTTGGATGTATCCTCCTTAATCAATGCCTGCCTTACATTCGAACTTGAGGTTTCTCAGTTTGATTACATTGACATCCCAAAGGAGCTGCTTGAGAAAATCAAGCACGTCAAGAAAATTACTCTTGGCTCTTATTGCGTTCAAGTAAGCCCTTTTATTGGTACTAGTCTGAGATGAATGTTGACTGTCAATATATTTGTTTTATTTATTCATTATTATTTTTTGTTATGAATGTTAACTGGTTGTTTTTATTTTTATTTTTATTTTTATCTTGGAACATACTGGGCTTATGGTTGTTTTGTTCTCTTATTTGCCAAGGTTCTGTCTTTATTAGAGTTCAGGGGATTGGCCTCTCCATTGTCTGGCAGCAGTTGCGAATGCTTAACTCTGAATACAAATCTTAACGAATGGTATCCCTTTGGGTTGGCACACTTGCTTCACTGCTTTGCAACTTTACAGAAACTAGTCATAGACATGACAATTATTTCTGAGGTTGAGGTATGACTTTCTGGGGTGACTTTACAACTTTCAAGTTATTCGTTTGTTTTCTTTGCGTAGATAATCAATTGGGTCAAGTACTTATGGTATTCACAAAAAAAATGGATGGAAAGTCAATAACTTTAAACTTTTCATCAAGCAATTGAAGTCATTGAACTTGAACTTCCTTTGTGTTATGTGTGTAATTGAACACATTGTTTTCTGCTAACTAAGTGTTTAATGAATCTTCAAATTCAGAGATCACCTGACGAGGTTTTTCCAGAAAACTATCTGGAAAGCGTGAAAAGAACTTTCAGTTGCTTGCTTGAACATCTAGAGACCATTGAGATTACTGGCTTTAGATCCTATCAGAATGAACCAGATGATCTTCCATTGGTAAGTTTTCTGCTTGGGAATGCGAGTGTGCTAAAACAGATGGTCATACACTTTGGATGCAAAGTTTCAGAGTTTAATTTAGCTGGAAAGGCTAAACATTCTGATCTGATTCAAAAATTGCAAAGCTTCCCAAGATGCTCCCCCCATGC